ACATTCACAAATCTGAATGACTCAGAAATCCCACTCTTAGTTATGTACCCAACAGAAATGTGTGCAGATACATAGCAAGACACATGACAAAGATAAAAATGTTCTTTGCAGCATTCTTTGTGATAGCTCCAAACTGGAAATAATCCAAATGCCCATCAATAGTATTGTAAGTTGTATATTCACACAATGTTTTAGGAGAGCACACAGGACACAAGAATTAAAAATAAGCATAATGAATTAAATCAGCAAAATAAGGTAAAATGAATGGAAATGGGAAGCAGGAATAAGCATCTATGAACAAAGTGGAAATTCTAGTATAAAAAATATAATTTTTGAAATGAAGAATTCAATAGACAATTAAATAACAAGTTAAAAATCAGTGGCTTACGCTTGTAATACTTGCACTTTGGGAGGCTGAGGCAGGAGGATTGCATGAGGCCAGGAGTTCAAGACAAGCCAGAGAAAGATCAAGACCCCCATCTCCACAAAAAAAAACCAACAAAAAACAACAACAATTAATCAGGTGAGGCAGTGCATGTCTGTAATCCCAGATATTCCAGAGGCTGAGGCAGGAGGATCACTTGAGCCCAGGAGTTTGAGGTTGCAGTGAGCTATGAGAACACCACTGCACTCTAGCCTGGGCAACACAGCAAGAGCCCGTCTCAAAAAAAAAAAAAATCAGCTTGGCCATGCACGGTGGTTCACGCCTATAATCCCAGCATTCTGGAGGTCAAGGCAGGAGGATCTCTTGAGCTCAGGAGTCTGAGATCAGCATGAGAAAGAGCAAGACCCTATCTCTACTAAAAATATAAAAAATTATCTGGGCATGTGGTGGTACAGGCCTGCAGTCCCAGCTACTTGGGAGGCTGAGGCGGGAGGATCGCTTGAGCCTAGACGTTTGAAGTTGCAGCGAGCTAGGCTGATGCCACAGCACTCTAGTCTAGGCGACAGAGCGAGACTCTGTCTAAAAAAAAAAAAGAAAGTAACTGGATATTTTTAAAAACAGGCTAGTCTGAACACCACCAGGCAGTGGTGTTTACAACTAATTGATCACAAGTTACAGATTTCACTGTTTCTTCTCCACTCCCACTGCTTCAAATTGTTCGGTAGACAGTGAGGGATTCTGGCTCCCCTAGGGACAAAGGCAGTGGCCAGTCTTGTTGCTGCTCCACCTTAATCTTGCCCCAAGCAACTGCCTCACCTAGGGGAAGGAGGAACCCCTGCTAATATGCAAAAGAATGCAGGGAATTCTCTAGTTGTGGGCCTGGCTGCCCAGGCACAACAGGATCTGGAAAGTAACCTAAGGCTAATTATCATGTCATTTACTCCATTGAAGTAGTTCAGTGGTGAATTCTGAACTCTGAGGAGGGCCCAATCCAGACAGTATAAAAGAAGATCCCAGGCCATTACCAAAGCCCTTTTGTTAGGACAGCGGGGGTCTGCTCATCTGTGGCAAATGTATCTTGCCCTTCCCCAGTAAACTTCGTTTCACACATGCCCTACTTTTGTTGTGTCCGGTCATTCTTGGGCCAAGAGCACACCCATAACTGAGAACAGACAACTACAAAATGAATAGCTACAACTACAAAATGAATAGCTAAAAGATAAATAAAACCAAAACAACACTACTTGGTTTCCAGCATTTGGCAGATTAAAATACTTCAAAATCTCTGCTTGATAATACATAACAAACATCCTTTTAAAATCATGGTACTGAAGCTTGTAAGAAAGGGAATGTTGCGTAAAAGGAAATAAGAGGAAACTGAGTTGAAACTGTAGTAATAGCCTGTAGTAGATGAGATTGCGAATGTCAAAGGGCTGGCTTTGGACAGCCAAATGGTAACAAGGGATTAGGATTCCAGTCCACAAAAACTGAATCTGAGAACTGCACACAAAGCTGGGACCAGTGAAGAGCTATACCTTCAGTGAAAACACAAACCAGAAAAAAAATCCATTCAGCAGCCCCTGGAGATATCTCTCCCAGCCCAGAGAGATAAGGGTATATGAGATAAGGGTATATTCTGAGCTCCAGGTGGGCCAAAAGCCTCCCTTGAAGATTTAGAATCGGTTTGTCCTCACACTGGTGTAGAGTTCAAATTTACAATTGTTCATCAGTGAAACCATAGTCAGAGAAGTTATGAAAAAATAGCCTTTTGTAATGTAAAGAATCTAGCCATTGATAATCCTGGAAAAAACTGATCTGGAAGGAACCATCCTCAACCTAGGTAGGTGGCATAGGATTCCCCAAAATAAGGCCCTGTGTTAGTCCATTTATGCTGCTATAACAAAATAGCACAGACTAGGTATAATTTATAAACAACAGAAATTCATTTTTTCACAGTTCTGGAGGCTGGGATGTCTTTAGAGCAAGGTGCCCGTAGGCTCAAGTGCTTGGTGAAGGCTGCTCTCTGCTTCCAAGATGGCGTCTTGTCCTGCATTCTCACATGGTAGAAGGGCAGAAGGGACAAAAAGGTGTTTAGGCGGGGCGCGGTGGCTCAGGCCTGTAATCCTAGCACTCTGGGAGGCCAAGGGGGGTGGATTGTTTGAGCTCAGGAGTTTGAGACCAGACTGAGCAAGAGCGAAACCCCCTCTCTAATAAAAATAGAAACAAATTAGCTGGACAACTAAAAATTTATATAGAAAAAATTAGCCGGGCATGGTGGCACATGCCTGTAGTCCCAGCTACTCGGGAGGCGGAGGCAGAAGGATCGCTTGAGCCCAGGAGTTTGAGGTTGCTGTGAGTTAGGTTGATGCCACAACATTCTAGCCTGGGCAACAGAGTGAGACTCTGTCTCAAAAAAAAAAAATAAATAAATAAAAATAAAAAATAAAAAAATATTTTTAGATCAGGCAATACACACCTCATCCTCATCCACAGAATGAAGTGTTCTCCTAAAAAGGAGTTGTTATAAGTTAAATATAGCAATTTCCCCCATGGCAACATTAAAACTGTGCTGAATTTTTGGAACCTTCTTAACATTTGTTTTTACATGGAATTTACATAATCCTACAACTTTAAATTATCCAAAGTTGACAGTTAATTGCACTGTATTTAATTTTGTGATAAGATTATATTTAAGAGTAAGAAGTTATAATATTATGAAGTGTTCCTCCAATAGTTATTTTTAATGCGTTCTTTTTCCCTTCAAAAACTGATTAACTTGGCCGGGCGCGGTGGCTCACGCCTATAATCCTAGCTCTCTGGGAGGCAGAGGCAGGCGGATTGTTTGAACTCAGGAGTTCAAAACCAGCCTGAGCAAGAGCGAGACCCCGTCTCTACTAAAATTAGAAAGAAATTAATTGGACAACTAAAAATATATAGAAAAAATTAGCCGGGCATGGTGGCGCATGCCTGTAGTCCCAGCTACTCGGGAGGCTGAGGCAGGAGGATCGCTTGAGCCCAGGAGTTTGAGGTTGCAGTGAGCTAGGCTGACGCCACGGCACTCTAGCCGGGGCAAAAGAGTGAGACTCTGTCTCAAAAAAAAAAAAAAAACTGATTAACTTAATAATAGCAACTGATTTATGAACTAAAATTACTGGCAAGCTCAATTCCAAAGCTTATGCTTTTAAACAAGATTCAACATCTTTTATTTACATATTCGTGACACACATTAATGGTCTTATACAATAATTAAATCTAATAACAATGGTAAGGATGGAACATAAAAGACAATTCCAAATTTTAGTCAGGTTGAAATACTTTTTCACTAACTGAAAGATATAAACGAGCAGCCATTTTAAAGTTATGGGCTGTATGTCAATTCACTTCTTAAAATTGAAAGTCAGCCACACAGCTACTAAAACAATGGGAAATTTGCAAATGCAAATATTATATATACAAGTATAATGCATGCACAACTATCACATTTATTCTTTATCCTTAAAGCCATTTTTAAAGTAAACTGGTATAAGCATTTTAATTAATATATGTACATCAAGGCACCTTCTTTTCCTGTGCTTTAGGAATGATTTACATGTGATCTGCTTATATCTTAATTTTATACCTTATAACAGCTTCTTATACCTAAAAGCTTAATTTTAACGATTATAGCTTGAGTAGTAGTTTCCTAGAGAGAAATGTGGCATCTCCCCATGGTTATTCTGAAAACCAGAAAATTGGATTGCTTAAAGAGGTGGGAATTTAAAAATCAAACACATGAATTAATATAATTTAGTTTTCAAGTAACTTTTAAAAATAAATTATCTTCAACAATTTGGTGGGACCATAATCAATTTCTTCAAGTATTATAATGAGGGCTATACTGAAGAATTTCAATATTCTGAAATTACTTGACAATCATATGGTATCCACAGGACCGCTGTAATGTTTATATTGCTATCCTATTTCTCAACTGCAGTTTTTCAACAAAATTAAACGATTAAACATGATACACAAGCTGAAACCATAGCAAACCTAACTTGTTCATTCTTCAGCAAAAGAATGAGATTCAAGGAGAAATTTCCCATCAACAGTGTTTAATAACGGTGTTCTTTTCTCATGGTCAATTTACTTGCCTTGAAGAGAGTATAGTAAGGCTTTAATAGGCATTTCATGCATTTTAATGGCATTTTAAAAATTAGCTATTCATTTATGGGCTCCCCATATAGATAAATATATTGTGCAAACTTGATTACGACATGTAACTCATTAAGTGCTTTAAAACAGAATAAAGAATCCCTGACTTAAAAGGGGTTAAAATAAATAGTAAGTCAAGAATCACAGATCTAAAGCATTTAAAAAGCGTAATACAGTTATGCATCGTACTGAAATGCTTTATATTAGAATTTTTTTAATCCATAAACAGGGCAAATGAAATCACAGAATCTCTACATTTAGAGAAAAAAACAGAAGAAAAGCCAACTGGTGCAGCCTTTTAAAATCAAAATATATGATATGTAAAAATGCAAATGAAAACTGTACAGTCTTAAATTTAGTACAGTCATTATAAACATTAATTCATAAAACGTATTATCATGATAAGCCACTGCCATCAAATGTATTTGTTTTCAATTTCTTTACAGTTAATGGACTTTTCTACAGAACCCATTGGCCAGACAAAAGGTTTGGAAATGTTACATCACCAGTCCAGAGCCTTGACATGTAAATGCTCAGTGGACAGTCACATGGTATTGTAAACAAATATTCTGTGAGCTCAGTGTACATGAGATGTCACTTCTCTTAACCTTCATTACTGTATTCATTCTGCTTCTGAAATATGTGCCACTTCTACTTCAACAGTTTGAATAGCTTCTGCAACTTCAGATAGCTTCTGTCCTTGCTGTTGTGCCAATACATAATTAACTACTTGCATAATACTTTGGTCAGAAAGCGTAGATACCGACGGGCACTCTTCAGTAGCTGCAACAGCCTCGAGAGCTTCAATAGTTTCTCCCGTCACTACCACAGTCTCAAGCTCTTGAGGACAACTGCTTCCTTGATCCTGCATGTCTGCTGTTAAGATGCTAACCGCATGCTCCACTTGAGTTCCTTGGTTATGAAACTGAAGGGTATCTTTTTCCAGCATAATTTTGCAAGGCACATAGTCTCTGTGAAATTTAGTCATATGTTTACGGAGTGTTCGAGCATCTATATAGGCTTCGCTACATACAGGACAGACATAGGGCCGTTCACCAGTATGTGTTCTGACGTGGCGTTTTAGAGATCGGGCATCAGCCCAAGCTACTCCACATGTTAAGCACTCAAATGGCTTAACTCCTATTAAAAAAAAAAGTACACGTGTGGTGAGGTACAAGTACAAAAATATATTTAAATTGTCAATTTTTAAAAATTTTAAAAAATATAGTAGCCCATAAATCTTTCTATCTCGACTATGGCAATCTTTTACTTTGAACCTAATGGTTTTCCTTAGAATAAATAAGACTCTGAACTATAATCTAACGACATTTCCATGGACAGAAGTTACTGAGAGATAAATTTTAGTTTCCATGCATAATTTCAATTATTTCTTCACAGCAATCCTATAATCCTAGGGTAATGAAACAGAGGCTTCAAACAATTTAGTTTAGTATAATGATGTTGATATAGAAATATGAAATTAATTTCTTCCCAAGTAACGTAAGAGGGCTGGTAAAGGGAGAATCACTACTGGTTTGGCTTCTGTTCTATTTAGATACATATAATACTAAGTACACTTACCTTCATGGTTGTTCATGTGTCTTCTATACTCTCTTAGCTGAGTGAACTTTCTTCCACATTGTTCACATACCCGTTCCAGGTTTTGCTTTGCTCTTCCTTTTTTCCCATGGGTAGCTTTCTTTACATGCCTTCTGAACAAAGCTTTTTCATAAAATTCTTTACCACATATATTACACCTAAAATAGGGGGAAAGGTCAAATTATTTTTTCCAAATCACCAGGAGCCAGTCATAAGAATCAATCAAAATACATATACATCTCAAGTTCAAATTCTTCTCAAATTTACCCACCTATAAGGCTCAGTGACAGAATGAGACTTCACATGGGAATACCAATCTTTCTTCCAACTATAGCACTTATCACAAAATTGGCACCGGAATGGTTTCACACCGAGATGTTTGTTCATGTGTTGGCGAAGATCTCTAGCTTCAAAGAAACTTTTTTCACATCTGCAATAAAGTTCAATTATCCAATTGGATCATCTTATTCCTTTAATACAGGTTTCCTAGAATTCAATATGTTTTTAAGTTCCTAGAACTCCACGAGATTGATTCCAATTTAAAACAAAAGAATTCCCTAATATTCCAATCTTGCATCAAGGCTACAGAGTTTTAAGTTCTTTTATCTTTAGAGCACTAGAAATGTTTTGAAGAGAGCTATGCATAGGCAGGGTGTGGAGGCTCATGCTTGTAATACCAGCACTTTGGGAAGCCAAGGCAGGAGGATCGTTTGAGGCTAGGAGTTTAAAACCAGCTTGGGCAACATGGCGAGACCCCATCTCTACAAACATTTTTTTTTTTTTTTGAGACAGAGTCTCACTCTTTTGCCCGGGCTAGAGTGCCGTGGTGTCAGCCTAGCTCACAGCAACCTCAAATTCCTGGGCTCAAGCAATCCTTCTGCCTCAGCCTCCCAAGTACCTGGGACTACAGGCATGCGCCACCATGCCTGGCTAATTTTTTCTATATATTTTTAGTTGTCCGATTAATTTCTTTCTATTTTTACTCGCTCTTGCTCAGGCTGGTCTCGAACTCCTGAGCTCAAACAATCAGCCCGCCTCGGCCTCCCAGAGTGCTAGGATTACAGGCGTGAGCCACCGCGCCCAGCCTACAAACATTTTTTTAAAACAGTTAGCTGGATGTGGAGGCGTGCACCTGTAGTTCCAGCTACTCAGGAGGATGATGCAGGAGGATCACTTAAGCCCAGAAGCTTGAGGTTGCAGTGAGCTATAATCATGCCACTGTACTCCAGCCCAAACAAACAAAAGAATCATGCATAGTTCCTAAGGGTTATTACAGAGGAAATCTGTGTGTCTTCCCCTCCCCCATCTAATCTCCTTTTTACAACCCCATTCACCCCTCTCATTCTCTATGTATGGAGGGTAGGCTTTACTCTGACCGCAGGGATGAAGCAACAACGTAGGCCTAAGTCAATCAGAGCACAGCATTCCTTTGGCCACAGTGACTGACCAAGGAATGACCAAATGACTTTACTGAATGTAATCAGAGTGAACCTCAAGGCTTTTATAGGAACTACCAGAAAAGAAGACTGATAATTTGGGATTTGAGAGGATATTAAGTTTAAACCACTGCCATTGTCTTGTCCATAAGAGCCTGAGAGAAATCACATGCTAATGAATCTAAACACAGTTTACATTAATCTACTCAGACTCCCAGACTTCAAGATCTGAAAAGGCCCCAAGTTCTCACTTCGAGCCGACCTGAATCTGCACAAACAGGAAGTGAAGGCTAAGTCAGAGCTGTAAACTGTCTGGCTGACTATTAGAGGCATTCTGGCATTAGTGGTGATATTTGTACAATACTGTGAATTTACTAAAAGCCCCTGAATTATACATTTTAAAAATGATTAATTTTATGTTATATGAATTTTACCTCACTTATAAAGAAGATTTTGAGAGGCTTTGGAAAATGAAAAGGGGGAGAAAGAAACTCTGGCTGGCAGTAGGACTCTTCTTCTTTTTTTTTTGAGAGTCTCAACTCTGCTGCCAGGGCTAGAGTGCCATGGCATCAGCCTAGCTCACAGCAACCTCAAACTCCTGGGCTCAACTGATCCTTCTGTCTCAGCCTCCCAAGTAGCTGGGACTATAGACAAGCACCACCATACCCAGCTAATTTTTTCTATTTTAGTATATATGGGGTCTTGCTATTGCTCAGGCTGGTCTCAAACTCCTGAGCTCAAGCGATTCCACTCCCTCCCCGGCCCTCCCAGAGGGCTGGGATTATAGGCGTGAGCCACTGTGCCTGGCCAGGACTTTTCTTTCCTACAGTCCCCACTCCCAGGTAAGTACCATTTGGAAAACCTTTTAAATCACTTTAAATGAGTGATTTGTGTATGGTATATGGTTTATATCTCAAAACTCTTAAAAAAAAAAAAATGGGAAAACATAGGCCAAAAAAAAAACCCGATTAAAATCAAGATTAAATTGAAATTACTGTTTAATGTTAGTTTCAAATATTTTCTTTCTTTTCAAAACTTTCAAATAAACTGAATAAGAACATAATGAAATTACTTGAATGCTTCACATATTAAATACTTACTGGGTGCAATGATAGCCTCGAACCTCAGGCTTTGGCTGGTGTTTCTTGAAGTGCTTGCTGAGTCCAGAGCCCCTGTGAAAAGACTTTCCACAAACTGAGCAATGGTACTTGGACTCCCCTGTAAAAACAAAAACCATGTCACAAATCTAACAGTCTTCTTTTAACAGAATGCTTTAATTTCATATTTCAGAAGTTATTTTATCGAAGAACTATAGAAGCTATAACATTTAGCAGGTATCTTCTAAGAGTAACAATAAACCATGTCAAAATACCTATTTTCCTCTCAACAACTATAGTACTAGCAAAGGCTCCTACGCAAAGAATGTGATATGCTTATATAACATATGGATTATAGTAGTAATAGAAATGAATACAAGTTCTACAGCAGGTACATACCCTTCACTGACCATTCCCATATTCCTGCTTTAAAGCCTCTGAAAATAAGTATGTGTGGACAAAAAAATAATAAAAGTATAAACCATCTACCATACTGACATTTACATCTGCCTACCACTCAACTTTTTAAAAGCATGATCATTTCTTTATGCCTGGATCTAAATTATGCATGATTTATCATTAAATACACATTTTTCTATACTGAGGAAAACAATGAATATTTTTACACAAATAACACAGCTGTAACTAGATTTAAGAAAACTTTGCAACTTTAAATACTGTCTCATTAATAAAAAACTGAACACACATATCAGCATATCAATTTCTGATATAATTACAGCATAATCAATGTAATAAGTTAATAGCATATAAAATCTAACTATGTCAATATAAATTTCTCATTACCTGTGTGAATACTCATATGTTCTTGAAGACTCCGTTTAGTAACAAATGACTTAACACATAGTTCACACTGGAACTGCTTTTGTGATTGATGGAGACTCTGATGTAATTTTAGACCATGCTTGTAGATAAAAGTCTTTCCACAGACCTAAGACAGAAAACGGGTGTTCAGTTTAGTAAAACAAAAAGGGATCAGGTAGATGCTGTTTCTGAAGAATGAAGACAGAGAAACTAGTTTAAATAAATATTTAGTTATTTAACTAAAATTAGAAACAAAACGACAGCATGACAGTTTGAACCACAAATGTCAAGGATGTTAGCAAGCTAAATCCTCTTCTGATCCAGTACTTAACAAATATTGTTGCTATCTTTCTTAAATTCATGTTATCACTGGAAGAGCTCAAAATAGCACAAATAAACCAAGAAACCTTGTGCTATCCTTGAGACTGGTAAACAGTACACCTTATATTTAAAGAGACATAGAAGCTTAATATAGAACAATATACTATTTCCTGCTACACTAACCTGCTACACTAACAGTGCTTCTCAAACTGTGATGAAGAACCAATTTTTTTTCCTTTCCCCAATCTTCTGGGGAAAAATTTTTGTTAAACATGATAAAAATGTTGTGACAAGGCCAGGCAAGGTGGCTCATGTCTGTAATCCTAGTACTTTGGGAGGCCAACGTGGGAGGATCGCTTGAGGCCAGGAGTTCAAGACCAGCTTGGGCAATAGCAAGACCCTGTGTCTATAAAAATAAAAATTAGCTGAGTGTGCCTGTAGTCCCAGCTACTGAGGAGGCTGAGGCAAGAGTATCACTTGAGCCCTGGAGTCTGAGGTTGCTGTGAGCTATGATTATGCCACTGTATTCCAGTCTGGGTGATGGGGAGACCCTGTCTAAAAAAAAAAAAAAGTGACAACATCAAATTGCTATGAAAGTTCTACATGCTTACTCTCTATTTCTGTACTTATCTTATGGACCACGCATTTTGAGTAGTGCTACACTGGAAGAGCAGAGGCTGAACTTATACTCGTATTTAAATTTATGAATAAAATGATGGTTAGGACTTGGTTTCAAAGTAACTGGGGTGTAAGTAAGGTAGTGACAGTATACATAAAATACATCTGACCAAGAGCTGATAACTACTGAAGCTGGCTGAGGGTATATGAGGGTTCATCCCCTTCTCTTACAATATATTCTATTATTATATAATAAAAAGCTATAGAAAAAGGAGAAATATTGAAAATCTCACTGGTTTTAAAACTGTTTAATAAAAATAGTGAGTCATGCTTATATGTAAGGCTACAGGTGCTCCTAGAAATTTTTCACTGTTCTAAACAGCCCAAAGCAGGCTAATGACAGGATTCTTTACCCAGGAGCCATATTTTAGCATTTAGCTACCCTCAATCTTCAGCTCTAGAGAAGGACACATAGCTTAGACAGGACTTTTACTGACTAAGGAGATTTAAGCCATGGGTTCCTTTCCAGTCCTGGTTGGTCCTACTGAAGGTTAAGGAATGATTAGGATGATAAATTGGTTATTCTTACCCTGTACATCCTCTGGACCCTAATAAGTTTCAAAACAACTTAATAAAGATTCCTTTCAAATTACAACTTCAGAGAGCAAACTAAACACAACAGCAAATCACCCTTGATCTAGGCAACAAACTAAAGAAGTCAAATTTCTCTGGTATCTTAGAAGATAAGGGTGACTCTAGAATGCCTATCCACCAATCTCATTCCCATAGTTAAGTTCTAATCTTCTTTAAGTAACAAAAATAAATGTTATGGCTTTACCTGGCATGCATGTGGCTTTACACCTGTGTGCTTTAACATATGTATCCGAAGAGAATATAATTTAGGTAATGTCCTTCCGCATATGGAACATATAAATTCTCGTTTGGTTCTGCCCTTCTCAGAAGATGTTCCTGACGCCTCATTAGATGTGGAATTGGATGAGGATGAACTGGGGGCATCTTTTCTGGCATGTCGAATAAGGTGTGCTCGTAAGGAGGCGCTGTACTGAAACTGTTTTTTACACAACTAAAAGAAAAAGTAAACAAAATTCTGTCTAAATGTATTTGCATTACAAAATGTTAAGTGAAATTTGACTCATTTCCATTTTCCATTTCTGTTATAATTATATAAATCAATTAACACATACTATGTAAAAGACAATATGCTAGGTACCAGATTATAGAAACGGAAGGGGTAAGATTAAGGCCTTACTCTAGGAGAGGCTTAAAATCTAACTACAGCACAGGATTTATATGTAAAAAGATAAAATATATAAGAAGAGGGATAATCGGAGCAATGAGGAAAGGCATCATTAAGCATCATTAATAAGTTTGGGGCTTGAATTGTATCTTAAAGGAATAGGACACAAAGAATAATACTATCATTAGTATCATTAGCGTAAGTAATAACAGTTGTTAGGTGGAACAGAAATACGGGTTGGAAAAAGTAGAAAGGTAAGACTGTAATGGTCCTTGGATTTTAAGCTTTTGTTCTTTTTAAAATCAAAGGAATATATGCTCATCATCTACAAAACCTATTTTTTGAAACAATAAATAAAACTGGTCTCCTGGCTCACCATCTCCACCATCTTCTGCTTTTAGAGTTAACTTTTTTTTGACCCTCTCGATGCCTCTCTTTGTAACTCTAAGTAATATGCATAATGAAGTTGATTCTCTCCTTCACATCTGTACTCACTGTACATATGTAAACAATTCCCATTACCCTATCAAAATAGTCACATTTTTGATCAGATCAATTTCATTTGTTAGGTTTCAGTGCTTATGTTACTAGGATACAAATGTTGTTACAGCTGGGCCATATGATACACTATGATTCTTTTTCCTTTCTTGCTTTTTGTTTTTATTAACTTATTTCTCTTTGTATTTACTACTAATTCATCATCAAACCCTTCCGCCAGTTGTCTTCTGAGAGGAGATTGAAAACACATCACCTTATCTGAGATCTCCATCAAAGCATGATGTCCTGTTGCAATCTGGCCAGGATTGTCCCCTAAGCTTGGTACACACAGCTTCATCCCTGATCTCCCTTTACTATGGTCTTGAGTTCAAGTGACATGACAACAACCAAGCAGTAAGTTGCATTCTATTTATATGAGGTTACAGCCTTCTTCGACTAGCTTTCCAGATACTTACTGGACACTTATAATCCCTAGCTCTTTCATGTTTCAGTGTGTGCATTATAAGGGCATATCGTCTCTGGAAAACCATTCCACATTCCCCACATTTATGGGACGCTTCTTCAGTGTTCTCTTTAGTGTCCCTTTTTGGTTGTTTCCTCTTTTTTCCTCTTTGAACTAACTTCTGGGCCACCTAATTAAGGGATAAAAAACACAATCTAAATACATTCATTTTGATTTTTAAGGTTGAGTCATGTCTAATAAAATAGTTAAAATTCACATTATCTTATTAATATTGGTATTTAAAACATTAAGTTGCTGTATCCATCTCCCCTCCCAAATAATGTTCACCATAGCTACACGTTCATTAATAGAATGCTTTCAATCTAAAGCTAAAACTGCAAAGGTCAACCCTTTTTGCATCGTACCTGCTGAACTGCTGACTTGGGAATGGCTTTCCGTTTCTGCAGCTTTTTCTCCATTCCTTTGTGAAGTTTGATATATCCTCCTTCATTAACAGAACGCTGTCGAAGCCTGCTTCTGTAAGAATCATCATCAGGGCCAACGTCTGTCTTTGCTGTAGGTGCAACTAGATTTTCCTCATCTTTTAAAGGTTGGCCAAGGCTTTGCCCATGTTTTGAAATGTCTTCAGCACTGATATTCTCAGCTGATACATCATTTCCCATATCACTGTTCTTTGGAGAGCTACTGATTACATTCTCTTTTGAAAGTTTAGGATGAACATTAGAAACAGTGCTGTTTGAAGTTTCTAGTTCTGTCTGGTTGTTTTTTGCTATTAAATCAACAGCCTCCATTTCAGGATGGGAATTAGTTATACATCCTGCAGATGACAGAGCAGCTTCAGCCTCTGAAGAAATCTGGGGCTCAGGCTGTCGTTCTGGCTCTCCATTCTGCTCAGTTGCTGGCAAATCTCCATTTACCAGTAGTACAAATTCACAACCCCCAAGTTGAGGAGGTACAGTTGCTGTGGTTCCCTCATTGCTAGCCACAGGAAATGCTGTACCTCCATTATGTACTGGTAAGTCCTGGGTAGATGCGACTGTTTGAACTTCACCCTTCTTATATACCGTTAGCTGCTTTTCTTCCATGAGTTTATGTACACTTTCACAAATCTCTAAGACTTCTGACATGAAAAGATGACGAGCTAAGATGGCTACATCAGCCATGCTACAGAAGTCAAAACTTAGCACAGAAGTATAGGCAAATTCTAGTAAAGGAAGGAAGCTTGCCTTACAAAAACCTATGTGAAACAAGAAAATGGGGACAAAAAAGTCAATCACCACTGAAATATCTTATAAGAATACAGAATTATGACAATATAAAATATAATACAAAGGCAAACATGACCATTTATTCTGTAGTTAATCACCCCTGGATTTGCTTTCTGTTCTGGTTGCTTATTAAACCTTGACCAACTCACTTTTATGAGCCAAGTCTCTCAATACCTAATATAGAAAATAGTATCAGACTTACTACCTCAAGAGTTGTTGTAAGGCAGCCATTTTCAAACTGTACTCCTTAGAACCCCGGGGGTTCCTCAAACTCCCCTCAAGAAACAGCTGCTGGAGAATGGAGGGTAAAAAAAAAGAGGGAGGCAGGTGAGTAGGAGGGGTTCAGCCAACCTGTCCCATATAACCTCACTTTAGTAAATGTAGCTGTATTTTTTAATAATAGTCCTATAAAAATTAGATTGAACAAAGTGTTCTATGACTAAAAATAAAAAATCAAGATCTAAAACAAAGGTTGGCAAAATTTTTCTGTAAAGAGAGAATAAATAATGCAGGCCATAAAGTGTCTTGCAACTACTCAGCTCTGCCACTGTAGCTGGAAAGCAGATGTCCACCAATGCCTGTGGCTGTGTTCCAGTAAAACTTTCTTTACAAAAAGGGAAGGAAGGATTAGCCTATTGGGCTATAGTTGCTTATCCCAAATCTAAGGAATGAAATAATTACTATATACACGAGATATTATTACATTCTTATTTTATGTGGGAAAACAAGGTCAGTTTCTTTTCCAAGTTCTCAGTGCTTTACTTTCAAAAGCTATTTATTAATATTCCCATGATAAAAAAATCAGAAAAGAGATTATACAGTGATAATTCTATCTCTATACCCAGTATGATTAAGAATTTGTTTAGGCCAGGCGTGGTGGCTCATGCCTGTAATCCTAGCTCTCTGGGAGGCCGAGG